AGGCGTTGCCAGAGCACCTCACCTTTCCCCTCCTTTCTTTCATCAGCTCTGAGCTTTGGAAACACCAGGAAACCCTTTTGTCTGACCCATCCAGGTCTCATGTTTCTTTCCCTTTAACCCCTAGAGATTGGGTATACTTCTCTCCCAAAGTCGACAGGAGTCCCTTAACCCCAAAATGGGAGGAACCTTTTAAAGTTGTTCTTTGTACACCTACAGCTGCCAGGTTGGAAGAAGCCCCAGCAAAATTAACCCCATGGATATCTCCAGGTTAAAGCCAGCCAGGTCACCTGACCACGGAACGGAGCCTCACCACTCAGGTTGTTCCCACAAGCTCACCCGCTCCATTTCTCCCACCAACCCCTTAAAACTCCACATATCCCGAACTCTCACACTTCCCCCAATTCCCGAATAATCTATACCTTATCCATGCAAGTTTGGATTCTCACATGCGGTCTATTTTTCATCGTCCTTCAGTGGTGGAACGCATGGGCCTCCACGGGGCTGTTTTCCCAAATTACAATACCCACCTGCGAGATAGAGGTCTTTTGGGACCCACTAATACAACTAGAATCTCAGGCACCACAAGGGCCCTACATCCACTTAGAGCCCTGGGAAATTGAGTGGGAAGACGAGGTCGGGTGGACAGATGAGGAACAGATCTACACCTAACCATCTGATGAAACTCAGGGGCACCCCTCCTCCCAGGGGAACCACCAGCCAGGCCTCAGTCCTTTCAAACTGGGCAGCTTTTTATGTTCTTCTCCTGCCTACTCATAACTTTCCGGACATCCCCGCAGGATGCATGAACGGCACAGCCCTTGGGGCCTACCCGGGTGTAGTGGTCATGTCATCGCTCTCCTCCTAATTCTGCCTCTCAGCCCTACTGCCACTAACACGGGATACAGATGGCAATTCTACCTCACAGAAACCTGGAAGGATGATCGTGAAACCACCCATGCCCACGTTCTTTCCACCGCCGACTGCCTGCCACAGGGATGTCAATCTATGCTTCATCTTCCCTTTACCGCTCTCAATTCCGTCCTGTAGGGACATTACAGTTACCCCGTCATTTTCTTTGTTTACGACCAAATCAAGTACAATTGTTACACTTACTGGGTGGAAACTAACGGCGGTTGCCCTTATTCTTATTGCAATATGCACATTGCTTCCCCACTAGGGAGGGGCCAATGCGTCCAGGACAATGGAACCCACTACTGGTTAAGCATTCCGGATCCCTGGCACTCCAGATGGGCCGAGGGTGTTAAGGCTAAATTATACCTCATATACCTCTTACCCCACCGCTTCCCTCCAGATTTATAGGGCTTACATACACACAATCTCTCAAACTTATTCCACCCTCAACAATTTAATTTGGGCCATCCAGACACAAGAACAGCTCCTCCAAAAACACCTACAAACCACCCCTCATCAAAATCAGGGCACCTTCTCCTGGATACAGCTCATCCAGCAGGGCACCATCCTCGCCAATCTCTCAGGCAAGGGTAACCTGTCCCACTGCTTTCTTTGTGTTGCTTTGGGTAAATCCCCATTAGTAGCCATCCCCCTCCCTGGCCCATTCAATTCACCCACCACCCCAACTTCAGCTCCTTCTTCCCCCCTCCAGAACATTCCCTTGTTTACTAACACGTCGAATTCAATAATTCCCTTCTGCTATATCACCCCTAATTCCTCTCTCTGCAATACAACCCAACAAAATGGTACCAGCCAACATGCCCCCATTGGAGGTTTCTCTTGGTGCAATGGCAGCCTCTCTAAGGCCCTCAACACCTCGGCCTCCCTCCTTTGCCGACCTGTTTCACTGGTTCTCCAACTACAGACAGTTGACCATCTATAGTCAGGCTGAAGTTATTGCCTTAGTTCCCCAGACAAACAAAAACAGGCAGTTTTCCTCCCTCTGGTCCTCGGGGTTTCCTTGGCCTCCTCTCTGGTGGCCACAGGACTAAGCACGGGGACACTTATCCACTCTACAAACTCAAGTAGAGATCTTTCAGAAAAACTCCAGGCGGGCATCGAGGCCTCGGCAGAGTCCTTGGCCTCGCTGCAACGCCAAACCTCATTGGCCCAAGTAACTCTCCAAAACATGCGTGCCCTAGACCTCCTCATGGCAGGAAGGGGCAGCATTTGCATGTTCCTCAACGAGGAATGCTGTTATTACATCAACGAAATGGGTGTAATTGAAACTGATCTCCAAAATTTGGCCAAGATCCGTGAGTCTCTCAAGAACAAATACCGCCAGGGGAACCCCACCTCACCTCAGTGGTGGCAGTCCTCATTGACCTCATGGCTCCTCCCCTTTTTAAGCCCACTCCTCCTCATCAGGATATTATTAACTCTGGCCCCTTGTGCCCTTTGCTTCATTCAGGAACGAATTCACATGGTGTCTCGGGTTTCTGTCAACCAGCTCATCCTCAAGGAATACTTGCCACTGCCAAACGGTGAAGACACGTCTCCTATCTTTCCTCCACACCCTTCAGGAGGACAGTTGGTTACTCCTTAACATCTGCCAGGCCAAAGATGTGTTCAAGGGGCTCAGTGACCTGTGGCTCCAAAGGACGTTCTCCACCTTCTCACCCACAGAAATCAGAACTTTCAGCGCCTGGCTGTACAGCCTTATACTCCTCATGTTTGGTTAACCATACCTCCCCTCTTTCCTTTCCCCATACCGCCCCCTCCTTCTTCACCCCCCAATCAGCAGGAAGTAGCCAGAGACAACGACGCCCGTTTTCTAATCTAAACCAAAGAGGGAGGAATGTTAGCCAATTATGTTATGACCAATGTCAGACCAAAAATGGCAGCGGGTGGAGAGGAAGAACACCCAAAATGGCTGCAGAAAGTTTCAGGTCCCTAGAACAGCACATTTTCCAAGAACAAAACCCTCCTTCCCCCTTTTTCCTCACCAGGACATCCCCTTCCCACGACATGAATTTCTCCATCTATAGGGAAGAACAGTCCAGCTCAGCCTAATGGGATATAAAAAGCCCACCCCAACACTCCCTGCTGCTGCTCCCACTCTCCAGAGGGCAGCCCGCTTGTTCATTTTGCCTGCCTAATACACTTTGGTTGAGTCCCTGTCTCCTGGTGTTTCTTTTGCGTAGGGGCTGGGTTTTTTTCCTTTCACTAAGAAATTATTGCTAATTTTTTAAGGTGTGATAATGATTTGAAGCTTTTTATTCAAAAAAAAAAAGTCCTTACCTTTTACAGATACATACTGAAGTGATTATGGATTAAATAAATCCAGTGGAGGTGGGGGTATTAGAAATGAAACAAGATTGGTTATGTGCTGACAACTGTTAAATAAAATAAAAGTGTCAAAGGAACTCAAAAGAAAACAAAACCAAGTGATGAAATATAAAATTCCCTATAACACCTTTGAACCCCTGGATCCAGCCATCCTTAAAGCCAAGCTTACCTCAGTAATAAGAGGCAATCAATTATTTTCCTTATTTAAGCCAGTTTGAGTTGGGTTTCTATCTCCTGTACAAAAAGTCCTAACTAATACAACACACTTATGCGCTTTAGTCAATATAATGAACCTCTAGTGGGTGCCCTCAGAGAGACAGGCATTGTACTAGGTACTCCGGATAATTAAGATACAGTTCCTCCTCTCATTGGTGTTTACATTCTTGAGGGAAGACAAGACTTTCAAATAATTCCAGGACAGGAGGTAAACGTTATAATAAAATGTGTTATGTGATTTATAAAAAGACCTGAAACAGAACAGATGAAAAGCATCTAACTCTGCTTAGGGAGGAGGCAGAGCTTCACAGAAGAGATCATACTTGATCTGAGACATGAATAAGAAGGAAGTCTGCCAGAAGGACGAGGGTAGAGAGGAATGTGGGGTGGAGGCATCGGTCACAGAATAGCAAGAACATATGGAAGACTTGTAGCATTTCTTAGGGGGGAGGGAGAAGAGAGCGTGAGAGAAAGTGTAGCACGGCAGGAGGCACTTATTGTACAATATCAAGTTTGTTTCTTCCTCTTTGACAGACTGCATTCCACGGGGGCAGGACCCTAATTGTAACTAATCTCTTCTGGTCTCGGTTTTTTCCTACTCTGATACATTCGCCACACTGCTGCCCATTATCTTCCTAAAAGACCAACTATGCCATGCCTCAATCCTGCTTTTAAAACCTTCAAAGACTGTGGTCATCAGTAGGGCACACAAGACTATTCACGACCTGACCTAAACATATCCAATCTCAGTCTGCCTTTCCACACCACATACCTTTTCTTCCAACCACGCCAAACTACTTGCCATCTCCAGCAGATTCCAAACAAACTGCTAAGAAAAGCTTCATTCCCACTCGTCTCTGAAAGAGCTAGTTCAAGTGCTCTAGTCTTCGCTTGCTTAGCCCCCCCACCCCCAAGGATCACTCCCTCCTCCGGTTTCCATAGCAACTTACACATTCTTCTACTACAACACTTACAAAGTTAAAAACGGGTTCCCGGGTCGATTTCTCCCGAAGGAAAATGAGACCCTCACGACAAGACCCCTAGCCCACCAGTGCCTTGCTGGTTCTGTCTACACCTCCGGACACCGCCTTCCTCCATGCAGGCGGGATACCCACACTCGCCGCACCAAGCACCTCCTACCTGCTTCCGTCAAGACTTACTGATTCCACACCAGGCAATACCTACTGTGTTCCTCTCACCCGTGAGGAAAGCACCAGAAAGCCACAAAGGCTATGGGCACTGTACCCGCGGCCCGCATCACCCACCCCCACCCCTACAGGCGGTTAATGACCGCAAACACCCTCCACCCGATACCAACGCCGGTACGGGGGAAGGGCTGCTACGGCTCAAACGGACCCTCCTCACGGAAACTTCTCTCTGCAGGGTCCGCTAACAAAACAGCCGGGTGCGGGCACCAGCAGCTCGGAAGCTCGAGCCAGTGGCCGCCGGGGACGGCACAAGATGGCGAAGTGGGAAAACGGGCTCAGGGGCCGGGCGAGCGGTGAGAGGGACGCGGGCCTCACCGCGCGGCCGCTCCTCGGTGTACAGGTCGATGACGACGTCGCCCAAAGTGGTCTCCAGCAGAACCGCCATAGCGCCCGCTCCTCCTCGGCAACAAGCTCCGGGGGGGTAAGGGAGTAGGTGACAGACGCAGCCCGTCGTCGTCTGCGCCACGCGTCACCGTCGGCGCGACGCCTGCTTACGTCACGCCCCCGGCCACGGCTTCCGCCGACGTGCGGCGCCGATTGATCCCGCCCCGGCGCGCCCCTTTTGAAAATCCTGGTGGGCACTTGGCGACTTGCGCGGTGGTCTGTCGTGCCGAAGGGCGTCGATGTAGGGTTCTGTGCCCCCATCTGTGTCCATCGCAAGAACAGGCGGCCGTCCGAGCGGCCCTTTCTTCTGTCCGCCAGAGGGTGCCCGCGGCGAGTCTTCCCCATCTTTTCGGGACGACTCCTCGCGGGTTCGTAGTCAGTCTCCTCTGGTCGCCCTGAGTCAAAAACGTCGGGCCTTAAGCACAGAGTTACCCAGAGAGGTGGTTAACAGGGATCGCTTTCCTGGCTACTCGTGTCTAGGGCAGGGACTATACCTGTTACAGAAGCATATGGTGGGTCCTTATGCGACAAGCTCAAAAACAGTAGGCTTCAGCCCCAAATCTCTATTGATACTGTCGATACTCTGACTTAGAAGACTGACAGAACTACTTTTGTGTCTGTTAGGGGTTTCGGACCCTAAGAGCCAACTAACATTTTTCCATGCAGAGTTTACTCCCCAAACACTCTCCTGGCCAAGCCTGCTGCTCTCTTTTATGCCATGTTATACAAACTTAAAAACTCCGATAACTTCCTATCTGACTAAAAACCAAAGCTTTTATCACATCTTCTCCTACCTTATCTTCCTGTCTTCTCTGTTATTCCCCTGAAGCCACACTAGACTTTTTGCTGTTCCCAGTACACTTCTGACATACTTCTGCCTCAGGGCCTTTTCACTCGCAGCCCCCTCTACTCGGAACCCTCTTCCTCCGGTTATTGCATGGCTCTTCAACTCTTTCAGGTACTCTGCTCATATGTCACCCACCATAATTAAAATTAATCCCACATACACATACTTTTATCTTTCTCCATACAGCTTTTTTCCCCTGTAGTACTTTTTAACCATCTGTTACTTATGAATATATTTATATGTGTTTGTTCCTAGAATGAATGCTCCAGAAGGACATGCAACGTTGTCTCTTTTGTTTACTTCTATATCCTAGTGTCTATGACAGCCTGGCACATAATAGGTGAATAAATGTTTGCTGAATGAATGAATGAATATTGGCAATTAAAGAAATGCAAATTAAAATAATTGAATTTCGGGCCGGCCCCGTGGCGCACTCGGGAGAGTGTGGCACTGGGAGAGCAGCAGCGCTCCTGCCGCAGGTTCAGATCCTACATAGCCGATGACCGGTGCATTCACAGCGCTCACTGGCTGAGCGCGGTGCGGCCGGTCTCAAAAAGGACAAAAAAAAAAAAAGATCCCCTTACTGGTCATCTTTTTTTTTTAAAAAAAAAAAAAAGAGTCCTCTGAGACAGTAACTTTCCGCTCATACCCTATCCACTCAATAAAAAACTTAACCCTACAATAGAAGGCATTTAAGAATAGAACAGGTTTCATGTATTTCTGATTTCCAAAACTTGTTGCATTTCTACATAATACCTAATGGTGTTTTACCAAAGTCTTAACGTACTCCTAGTTTTGAAATTATTGGCATTTTTCAATCATATCTAACCTTTTACATTGACATCATTTCCAAGAAAAATATATCTGTTAAGTCTTTATACCAAAATGGAAGGATGTATTTACTGATGAAGACCATACAGGAAATAAGGCAACACAAAAATTCCATTCAATGAGCAATAAAAATAAAATGTTAATAAGCAATATTATGAAAATAAGATAATTACAGGAATCTAGGAAGTAATTGTCAAGAACTGTGAAAGGTCTGAGATTTTGCCCTACTTTCAGACTAATAAATTAGCCTGCTACAATTTCATAGATGCTGGTACAAGATATGAGACTCCTGGGTCAGAGACAAGAGATAACTTATTATTTACAGCATAGGAAGCTGCATTAGTATCAGCATAGTACAGCATATTTGCATCAGTTCCATTGTCCCAAAGTTCCATGGAGGCTGTATGGAGGGCCCAGATATTTGCACACTCAGTGTGTTGCACAACAGGAGATGAACACTAAGTTTAGGAAACCCTAATCTTTCACAGTGGGCATGAACATGTCTTTTCTTTGCTCTGGAGGAAGACCACTATTTTCCAAGGTTGTTCTATCTGTTTATCTTTCTGTCTATGCACATATGAGCGTACTTCAAAATGTTCGTAGGAAGATTTGTATGATCTTTCTTTTTCCTATCATTTTTTTTCTTTCTTCCAAAAGGCAGTAGAAACTGAAGATTCATATTATCTTTCAATTCTATTTCTCCATGAACTTCTTGAAGTTCTCTTGAAAAGATAGTCTGGAACAAAGGACAGTCAGTACCTTGCTCACAAGATGTACAGAAACAGTAAAGATCCATAGAGGATTATCTTCCAACAATTAATTTTTCAAAAGTTTTTGAAAACTGAAATATTGGTTCAAAATAATTGCTTGATACTATGCATATAATTCATGTAATCTTTTCCTAATATGATCTTAAACTAACGAGTAATATTTGGTAAAATTCTGTGTATCCTTAAAAGAAATATTACAGAACCAAAGAAAAAAGATAGGACTTGGAAAGATGAATTTTTAAAGAAGAATTTGGGCCATTCAAAGAGAAGTAGAAAGTGACATTAGAAATGAGGAATGATTTCACATCTGAAGTGATTCACTAATGACCACATATGATTTTGCCAGATTGTTCTGAAGAATCCAGACTTGGTGTGAGTATAATAAACCCAAGAGAGAATACCTTATTCATTATTCAGTGTGTGATTTACAATATCTTTAAACGATGCTATATTTAATTATATCACTAAATATAAAATATACTATCTTCATAGTAAAAATATCATTTCATGATGATTATATAGTTTATGCTTGTCTTTATCTTATTACACTTTGAGTTTTTTTTTTTTTTTTAATGACTGGTAAGGGGATCTTAACCCTTGACTTGGTGTTGTCAGCAACACACTCACCCAGTGAGCTAACCAGCCACCCCTATATAGGGATCCGAACTCTTGGCCTTGTTGTTATCAGCACCACACTCTCCCAAGTGAGCCACGGGCTGGCCCTACACTTTGAATTTCTAACTCTATAAATTTTTATGTATATTTTAGTGGTCTGTATAGTAGTTACAGAGGTGAAAAAAAATGAGCTATATCCTTCACAATTCTATCAAATGTAAATACTAAACTAGATTTAGTCTGGAGAACAAGATTTAGTAAATTTTTATTGCTTTCCCAATATCAACATCACCAACCATCATGACTAATTTCTCTTATGCTGACTTCATATACTTTCTCTGAAAAACCATGTTCAATTATCTGTAGCCCTACTAAAATTGCCAAAAGTATAATCCTGATATTGCATTAAATGAACTGTCTTCTACCTAACTGTATGTACAGCAAAAACACACATTTTGTGCCAAAGCATTGCTGTGTTTGACAAGTCCAGTATGATTTCCTCTGCTCAACTCTGCCCCTTTTCTTGCTTTTTCCTCTCACATCCTGAGGAATCCCAGTTTAGTGAACTGAGATTCATGCTCGTCACTGCTGTCATTACATTTATAAGTGAGATATCTATTTGGGACAGTGGCAGGTCTAGGAGTTTGAGAGAACATCTTGGCTGGAAAGCAGGACATTCTGCCCTTTCTAGAAACAATCTGTACCTGCTTCTTTATCTGCCTGTCCTTGTTAAGTACATTTGATATGGGACAAGAGGGTCTGAGGAGGCTGGATGGTTGGCCTCAATCCAGCCAGTCTTCTTACCAGGTTCCTGACTCTATCACAAAAAAGAATTCAAGAGCCGTCACAATAGAAATTGAAAACAGGTTTAAAATAGCAGATAAGAAATACAGACTTCACAGAGAAAGTGCAGCCTGGTTCCAGAGACTGAGCAGAGCCCACACCACACCAAGTTTAATACAAAAGAAAGAAATACTCATTCACAGACAAAGTGCAGGCTGGCTCTAGAGTGAACAGCAGCCTGCTAAAGGCAAGTTTGATACAAAAAGAGAGAAATACACACCCCAGGTGAAGTGCAAGATGGCTCTAGAAAAAGTGAGCAGCAGCCCCACCTTCCTTTTATGGTTTTGCTACTATACATATTCATGATATTTAATGAATATTTGAATAAGGGGTTGGTTCCCAGTTATGTAACCCAGTCTTACACATGCTTGGTTGGTCTATTTTAGAGCATGCTTATTGGTTAAATTCCATCACATGCATCAAATATACCCAGAATATTCTAGGTGCTCTCTAGTGCCTCCTGTGGGAGGTCATTCAAGGGATAAATTTCTTTTTGCTGAGCATGCTTGACCAGTGAACGGCCCCCTGCAGTCTCAATCTCCAAGTGCTGGTACCGAAAATAGGTGCTATAGGCCGGGCAGCTTAGGATTCGGAGATGGGGGCTTGAGTCCTAGGGGAGTGTTTTGAGACCCAGGGGTAATGAGCACCTCATATCTCACATTAACTATTCTTTCTTTGTTGTGATTATTTTATTACTGACCTTTTCAGTAGATATTTGTATGGTGGGTTTTTTTTGGCAGCTGGCCAGTATGGGGATCTGAACCCATGACTTTGGTGTTAGTTACAAGGCTGTGCTCTAACCAACTGAGCTAATTGGCCAGCCCCCATTATGGCATTTTAATTATTATTCAGGGATGGTGAGGCCAACAGATCAGAAGACGATTGCCACTGAAAAGATAGTTTGTTACTCATAATTCCCGAGAGAATGTGTACACTGCACCATGGAGGGCCACGTGGGGAAGCACCAGTGTCTGTCAGAAGGGAGGGTTGTGAGGGGAAAGCATGAGGAGGAGCCACTGTTGTGGCTTCGATGGGATAGGTGAGGCAGGGTAAACAGGCTTAGGATTGGCTAGTTTGAATAATTTCGGCCAGCTC